CTTGAATGATTTTTTTTTCAGCATTTGACTACACACTGACCCGGACATAATGTATTCATAATGCACTCCATGTTTTTAATGTCATTGAATCTATGATAAATGAGCAGTAGCTAAAACAGAAAAAGGGGCACTACTTCACTTTGCACACTCTGAAGCATGAAAGCCTTATAATTCAGTGTGTATATATATATATTGTAAAGAGTCAGACCATTACTTAAAATTGATTATCTGTATTGCCTTAATTTGGGAGTTTAACCCATGAAAAAACAAAAAACCAAGAAGAAAAAAAATGCCCATTTTCAGTTCATTGGCTTTCTGTCCAAGATACTTTCCTTTGATGTCCCCTAACACAGAGGCATGCAGGGATAGGTGCCCAGAGACATACAGTACCCACCCACACTTACGTCATAACACACCCATACTTCTAAGACCTGTGCACAAACACAAATAGTAAAAAAATTGAAAAGAAAATTCTGGAAAACACATCTACTAAATTAAGTATGCTGACTACACTTTCCCCATCTCAGGACACTGAGAGAAACTGTGAGAGTGTCTTTGTACTTTGTATATTTGTGCTTTTGAGTAAAAGCATATGAAACAGAACAGAGGCTGCTGGTTAAGAGCACTCCACTGGCAGGTCTTTCAAATAAATGAGGAATTTGGTGTAACAGGCTGTCATTGTCTGAGCAGCAGGTTTGAAAGACAGTGTGCAGAAGTTTTTTTTTTCCAGTTTTCTTTTTTTTAGTAGTTGAGATATAAAACTGTGAAATAAAGCCCAAATACAGGCTGGCTCTCAGCTGAAACAATTGTGTGTCTGCTTCTGTGTATTATACTGTACTCTATGTTTGTTTATGACCTGCTGGACCACAGGTGGCCAGGTTTTGAATACTAGTCTCAAGAGTTTACCAAATTAAACACAACTGTTGATTCTTCTCCAAAGTCAAAGTCAAAAAAGTAATAATTCATTATGTATTTTTTCTGACACATTGCCAGTTCTACATGAATTTGGTGTGACCGCCCATTCAAACAGTCCCTGGAGTGCACCTATAAGTCCCTCCAGAGCCACACATCAGAGCAGTGGGGATAAAAGTGAACTAAAAATATAGAACATAACTCAGCAACCAGTATCCAATCAAAGGAGCAACTGAGGATATTAATATCAACACTGAATGAAAAATGAGGCACTTAAACATACAAATTGTGTTGGTACATTTGCATAAGAACAAGACAACAAGGGATGGAAAATGCCCCTCCTTTCATGTTGTTGTTTGATTTTTAGGAGGATTGAGATGCATCAGTAAAAGACTGGCTAACTCCTAACTTATATGCAAAAGCATACATGTGTACAAAGCCCTGCACAGATGTAGAGTTCACTTATATAACAAAGGACAAAGCCAAGACAACAGCCACACTTTGTCAGGATGAGCTGCACACTAGTTTCTTAAGTGACTTGATCTGGATTGATTGTGTTGTGTTGCTGTGGAAAACTAGAAGAGTGGTCGCCTTTTTACAGCAAGCAGACAGGGCTGGGTATACTCAACCTGACTGGTAGAGCAAGTATGCATAAGAAAATGTAATTTAATTGGTTCAGTATATTTTGGAACTGCCATTGCAGATCATGTAAAGCTGAAGCAAACTGTAATTATGTGAATGTTTTCTGTGCTTATCACTGTAAACACAGGTTTAACATCTAGTCAGGAATTTCCATCTTTGTATAGACAGGTATCTCAGTTTTCAACGTAAATTAAAATATCTTCAGCAACTTGCCTGTTCATTATGCAATTTTTTCCATATTATGTGTATAATATTTGGTCAGTAACACAGTTTTGTTCTTCAGGTTCTATGCTTCAGACTCACTTTGGAATTAAATCTCAGGTCTCACCTTTAGGGTTTACATTAATATAGAAAACCTGTGTGGGAGCTACACATAGGCCATTTAATGTATACTGTACCACATCATCTCTCAAACTGTCGCGGTTCTCTTAGTTTAGGCATGCATGGCTGCCAGTGGAGCACATAGGCATTTACTGATGACTTTGCTGCTGACAGAAACAGCAGGATGAATGCAAAGATACACAGTGGCACTCTCTGTGCAGATTCAGTCAAATACATTCATTCATTCAAAACTCATTGGATGACTTTCATCATTAAGCAGGATAATGAGAAATATCCAACCACAGAGCTTTTCAGGGCGAATAGGTGGAATAACATCAACTTGCCTAATCTATCACCTGATCTCAGTCTGATTTAGCTGCAGTCCACATACTGAAGACTGGGCTACAGCCAGAGAGACCACACAACAAGCAGGAGCAGAAGGTGGCTGCAATGAAGGCTTGAGAGAGCATGACCAGTATCTGCTCATGTCTATGGGTCAAAAACTTCAGACTGCAGAGGGTTTTGCACATTTTGTTTGACTTCCTGTGTATTTCTCTTGTTACTTTTGAAATCCTAAATGCGGGTATTATGTGTATAAAGGACTAAAGCTCATACATAAGGCGAATCCCAATTCCACTCATTGCATCCATGTTTCCCTCACTTAAACCTTCTCTTTGCGTCTTAGTGCCACCCCGCGTAAGATGTAAGAAAAAGATGCAAGGAGAGAGGACATCCTTTTCTCAAGCCTTTATGTGAAGTGTCCAATCACAAATTGATTTCTAATAAAGGGGCGTGTTAATCCATAACAGACTTGTGCGATGGACACACACACACTTGTGTATCCTCGGTTACAGCTCATCCAGGCAGCCTCTTCACTCCTCACTCTTCAAAGCAGAAATAACAGCCCTGGGATGTCCTTCATTATGATGGACTGGAAAGACCTCTGGGTGAAGCGAGGATCGAGGACTGAGGAACAATAAAATAAAGGAACTGGGATTTTCTATAATGATGTAAATCTACTCAACTTAATGTGAGTCTTGGCCCTTTAATTTAGTATCCATGATTTTATTTCAAGTTGAATGTCCTGAAGAACATACAGTGCCTTGTGAAAGTATTCGGCCCCCTTGAACTTTGCGACCTTTTGCCACATTTCAGGCTTCAAACATAAAGATATAAAACTGTAATTTTTTGTGAAGAATCAACAACAAGTGGGACACAATCATGAAGTGGAACGAAATTTATTGGATATTTCAAACTTTTTTAACAAATAAAAAACTGAAAAATTGGCCGTGCAAAATTATTCAGCCCCCTTAAGTTAATACTTTGTAGCGCCACCTTTTGCTGCGATTACAGCTGTAAGTCACTTGGGGTATGTCTCTATCAGTTTTGCACATCGAGAGACGGAAATTTTTGCCCATTCCTCCTTGCAAAACAGCTCGAGCTCAGTGAGGTTGGATAGAGAGCGTTTGTGAACAGCAGTTTTCAGTTCTTTCCACAGATTCTCCATTGGATTCAGGTCTGGACTTTGACTTGGCCATTCTAACACCTGGATATGTGTATTTGTGAACCATTCCATTGTAGATTTTGCTTTATGTTTTGGATCATTGTCTTGTTGGAAGACAAATCTCCATCCCAGTCTCAGGTCTTTTGCAGACTCCATCAGGTTTCCTTCCAGAATGGTCCTGTATTTGGCTCCATCCATCTTCCCATCAATTTTAACCATCTTCCCTGTCCCTGCTGAAGAAAAGCAGGCCCAAACCAGGATGCTGCCACCACCATGTTTGACAATGGGGATGGTGTGTTCAGGGTGATGAGCTGTGTTGCTTGTACGCCAAACATAACGTTTTGCATTGTTGCCAAAAAGTTCGATTTTGGTTTCATCTGACCAGAGCACCTTCTTCCACATGTTTGGTGTGTCTCCCAGGTGGCTTGTGGCAAACTTTGGACAGGGAAGATGGTTCAAATTGATGGGAAGATGGATGGAGCCAGATACAGGACCATTCTGGAAGGAAACCTGATGGAGTCTGCAAAAGACCTGAGACTGGGACGGAGATTTGTCTTCCAACAAGACACTGATCCAAAACATAAAGCAAAATCTACAATGGAATGGTTCACAAATAAACATATCCAGGTGTTAGAATGGCCAAGTCAAAGTCCAGACCTGAATCCAATCGTGAATCTGTGGAAAGAACTGAAAACTGCTGTTCACAAACGCTCTCTATCCAACCTCACTGAGCTCGAGCTGTTTTGCAAGGCGGAATGGGCAAAAATTTCAGTCTCTTGATGTGCAAAACTGATAGAGACATACCCCAAGTGACTTACAGCTGTAATCGCAGCAAAAGGTGGCGCTACAAAGTATTAACTTAAGGGGGCTGAATAATTTTGCACGGCCAATTTTTCAGTTTTTTATTTGTTAAAAACGTTTGAAATATCCAATAAATTTCGTTCCACTTCATGGTTGTGTCCCACTTGTTGTTGATTCTTCACAAAAAATTACAGTTTTATATCTTTATGTTTGAAGCCTGAAATGTGGCAAAAGGTCGCAAAGTTCAAGGGGGCCGAATACTTTCGCAAGGCACTGTAAAATGTGTAACTGTCCAAATGTGGTCCGAATGATACATGGACACTGTGCATATAGGCAAAAAGAGGAAAATGAGAACAATATGGAAAGAAAAGTGAAAGAGCATGCGAGAGCTAAAGATAGACTGTGGCAGGTCTAATGGACTAAGTGACATGGAGCTCAGGTACCATGTCTCTCTTGCTCTTTCTCCCTCGGCCAGTAGTGTGAAGTGAAAAGATAAAATGACATTCACAGCCTGTGGTGTTTTTTTCTTCTGCACCGTGGTTAGATTATGTTTCGCTTGAGCAGATTCCATGTGATGTGTATGTGCATATGTGAATACCACCTACCTTCCTCAAAAGTGACAGTGTTTCACACAGTCATTATTTTCTTCAGTTATACAGCTTTCGTAACACATCATAAAAGGACCGATAAATGCTACATGGCTGAGTGAAGTGCTGAGCAGGAAGCATATGATTTATAGCTGCATGTTAGTACTAATTAGTAAGCATCACCGAATTCAGGCAATGCTTAAAGACATCCAATACAAGTTTGCTAAACGTACCTGAGCCTGTGATCCCCGGCTCACCCGGACAAGAAGTAGTGTTGCTGCACATGCGTGTTTCCCGCAGGGCGCCACTGCACAGTGTCCCATAGGGAGAAGAAACGCATGAACGTGTCCTCACTTGCCAGCCTTGTCCACATGTGAGTGAACACACACTCCACTGTGACCACTCCTCTGCTGCAGGATCACCTAAAGAACACAACAGGTGAAGACACAGAAGCTAATCACTTACTGTATATCCTCGATGATTCCAGTTCCATATGGTGCTAATGTTTCATTGTTACAAACGTGTCAAATTACATGAAAAAACTGAATAAATGAACAGTCTCTTCCTGAATGAAAATGGCCCCATCCATAGGGCATGAGGGGGCACTATATGGTTTAATGAGTATGAAAATGATGTGACTCATATGTTACAGCCTTCACAGTCACCAGATCTTAACTCAGTTGAACCCAGGAGAGATGTTGAACAGATGTATTAGACAGCATCTCCACTCTCATCATGAAAACATCAAATGAGGGACTATGTTTTGGAAGAATGGTGTTCATCCCTTGTAGAATCAATGCCAAGGTGCATTGAAGCTGTTCTGTCAGCAATTGGTGGCTCGGCACCTTACTGAGACACTATGTTGGTTTTTCCTTTCATTTGCCACCTGTCAGTAGTAACTTGAAGATGATCTCAGCTCGCTGGCTCATGGTCCATGCCACAGGGTAAATTGTTGTGCAGTATAGTTAGCATTTATGCTGGAGCTGCAATAAACATACTGTTGTATAATAGGAGTCACATAAAAAGTCACAACAAAGAGGCTAGGGTGAAGTTGCAATTTTCCCACAACTCAAAGCATCAAAACATGTTTGCTTTCTTGTTAGCAAGAATCGTTTTATTTACTGAAATAATGTGAACAATTTCTTCTGGATATCTCTGACACCACTGGAATATTACTATAATAAAAAAGACAAAATCATAATCTATTTAACTGTCAGGAGAAAAGTCTGGGACTATCTGATAGATGATGAAAGGGTTTTGTGCTTATAGTACAATAACCAAACAGACTTTCTATCTGTAGTTATGATCTTTCTTTCTATCTTTGTCTCCTGGATGAAAGACATTTTGACAAGTTAAGATAGCCCTAATTCATCATTTGTTGTGTACAGCTTTTCTTGTGTTGTTCTGTTGTTGATTTCTATAGCATGTCATTGTCACACAGCTGGACCTGGTGTCATTAAGATATTTAAGCCCCTTAATGTGGATAAACAGTGAGTGGATAATCTTGAAGACAGTGATCATGTTAGAAAAATATATTTTGAGATGATATTCCAAGATATTAATACTCATAGAATTATGGTAACTCATTATCTCACTGCTAAAGGCTTTAAAAATGTGCATGTGTATGTGTGTAGGCATACAGTATGTGCACAAGCTCTAATTAGCATATGACCTATTCTAGTGTGTATGTATGCCCATATACACACACACTCATGACTCACCTGTTTGTGCCTGAAATACACCTGGCTGGTCAGCTGATCGAGGTCTCTGGGTCTTCACCTTCAAATCATCATCATATGGGTCTGAAATAAACAAAAGACAAAGACTGCCTTTTGATTTTTCTTCTCACAGAAACTGAATTTAAATATACTGTACATATTCTAGCAAGACTTTAAGTGTGGGAAGATGAGAAAAAAAATACTGGCATAAAGAAATCCAGTTTGTTTACAACATACTGGATAATTCTGTCATAGCATATACAGTAGAAACCTGGTTTTAAAGCTATAGTAAATACACATTTATCACCATTTAGATTCACTCTGTACATTCAGACAAGTCAAAAAAAGGCATGTTTTTTGAGTACATCCACAACACAAATGCTTACATTTCCTTGACTTGCTCAGTGTAGTAGAATAATTAAGAAACTCTCGAATACGTTTTTAGCCCACATTGTGCAGAAACATATTATATATAGTTGCTACAGAGGACAGCAACCTTGATCTGATATATCATTTGAACTAGAACATCTCATATAAATGGCGAGGCTTATTGGAAACAGAATGATTGCCTAGAGAGAAGGTATGGTAAAAGTAAAAACATGCTGTTATGGCATGCTGTATATAGTACGTGAGTGGACTCAAAAAGAATGCAGGACTCAGACTCAGGCTTGACAAGGTAAGTGCATTTAATGAGTGTATAGAGGAGAAGTGACAGGGCTGGTCTCATCCGCCGGTCGCGCGGCAGCTGGGAGCGCTGGGTGGACTGGACTGCTGGTGATGCAACCCGGGGTCAAAGGTGGGACGCAGCTTGCTGATTAGCCGACTGGGCCGGCTCTTGGCAGGTGAGTGCTGCAGGCAAAAGAAGCAGTCCAGGGCAGCAGGAGAGGGCGCAGCAGATAGCTGGTCAGATGAGCAGGTCCACGGCAGAGCAGGCAGGCAGTAGGATGCTGTGATGACAACTGATAGTGGAGATCCAGAGTCTTAGTAAGAGCAGGTCTCCTTGCACTGAGGAAAACAGGTAACAGTCACGGCACCACTTGGTGCTGAGAAAACCAAAGCAACAAAGGGCAGGAATCCAGACAAGCTGATGCCTAAAACATCCACAAATTGACAACATACAGTTCCCCAAAAAAAAAACATAAGATCAAGCTTAATGACAGGTACACATAGTGACAGGTACACATAGATGCCAAGCAAAGTTACTGGTGGAATTACAGGCGATCATCTGGCAATGAGGACACACTAACGCTCTCCTTAAGTATTGCTCTGATAATTGAGAGCAGGTGTGCCTCATCGCCCGGAATGCACTCCCACCTGTGTGGGGGCAGTGCTACTGGGATTACTCATACCAGCTGACGAGCTGGGGGTGGCCAGGGCCACGGACATAACACATGCAATATTTCTAAGTCCATTTTACCTCAGTAGGGAAGCAGGAGTGCAGACCTGTTCTGTTCAGTGCAAATGGATCTATAGGCTTACATTCAGCAACACAGGGGAAACAATCTTTGATTTAGCAGATATTTATCACCAGGTTCTTCACCCATTTTTTTTTTTTTGCAGTGTATGCAGAGAAGCTGAGACATACAGAGTATCTATGGTGCATAATCAGCATGGTATGTAAGTGTGTTTGCATTAGATTACACAGTGTAAAAGCGATTGATACTGAAATTTGTTCACATTATCCTTTATCAAGGAGTTGACCTAAGGGGAAAACACAAACACATGCACACACAACACACCCTCCAATGCCTCCAAATACACAAACAGAGACACCCACACAAACATGAATATCTTTGAAGTGAGGCTTTGTCATGAGTGCTCAAACTCCCATTGCAAATACTGTAGGTCTCTAATTTTACAGAAACAACTGTTTGTCAGGGAAAATGCCTTCTCTTTTATACTCTAGCTCTCACTGTTGCATTCATACTGTCTAACTCTCCCTCCCATTTCCTTGTTTTGTGCACTGTTCCCAGCAGGAACACTACCATTAAAGGCCAAAGTACAATATTTTAACATGGGAATAATGTAATATTTTTTCTGTGCTGTCTAGACTATTGTCTGCAGCTGGCTAGAGTTTTGGGTATTAAGCAAACTGTACATGTGTGGTTTGCTAGTTTGATTTAAAAAAAAAATCAAATTAGCAAATGGTGCAACAGTGACCTGAAAGTGCTTTAGAAGACATTAAACAAATTTAACTCTTCTCTTTGCCAAAAAATACTGAATATTGTTGCATCTAATTTGACAATCAAGCACAAAAATCCTTGCGCTATGTTAAAATTTAAATTCCTCAGCAGCAGGTTCCAGAAACAACACTTCATCAAAACTTCACACACCTCTGTCCACAATTAATAATGCATTAAAAATGCTAGGTAGTGACAACTGATAAGGGGGACCACTTTAAAAAAGTCAATAACCAGTTCCCCTTAACATATTCTAATTCCTCCTGTTGGTCATGTCTAATAACAGGTACCACAAACATAAGCAATGCTGCTCATGTTAAACCAACAGTCATGTGAAAAAATTAGAATAGGCATTTTTGTAGAATTACATTTACAGAAGATCTTGAAAAGACTTTTCTTCAGTTTTGTTTAGTTGTATTACTTTAATCTCTCTGTATTGTTAAAATTGAGATTAAATAACCATATATTAAAAAATGTTACAAAATACACATGCTTTCAAAGGGTGTCCTAATTTTTTCACATGACTGCAAGCTGTGCTTGTATTATTATCACCCCAGATATACAGTACCCTATCAAGTGTTTGCTAGGTTTAAGATCTGACTAAGTGGGTACATCCCATTTCCCTTAATTGTGTCCATGTTTCCTTCCCTTGCATCCCACCCATGTAAGACGTAAGGAGAAAATGTGAGAAGAGAGTAGTCAGTGAGTCGAGGAAACATGTCTTTGCAGACATGAGATGTCCTTTCCTCTGATCCTTTGACTGAAGCATCCAATCACCAACTGATTTCAGATAAAGAAACATGTTATTCTATAAAAGACTTCCTCAAAGGATGCTTTTGTGTATCCTCAGTCAGGACTTCTTCAGACAGCCTCCTTTCCCCTCACTCCTCAGAACAGGAATAAGTTCTCTGAGAGGTCCTTCAAGATAACAGACTGTAACAACTTCAAGGTCAAGCGAGTTTTGAAGAGAAATCAAATAAGGTAACTGAGACTTGCACAGAGAAAGCTTGTTGTGAGGGTTCATGGGAAATAATCAAATGAAACAACAAGATAACATAAAGTTACAGAATTTTCGAACATTTCAGAAAATATGCGGATTTATTTTGAGAGGGATGGCGTAAGTGTGTGCCCCAGTCTGGGAGTTTCCAAATCATTTTCTGGAATCTGTCTCTGATTAAATCCTGTGTGCTCAAGCAGAGCAGGAAAAAGGAGTAATGGCTCACATAAAGTGACCACTAAGGAGGACTTGTCTTACTATCACTTTAATCCTCTTTCTCTTTGTCAGTCTCTCTCTCTCTCTCCTACGCCACAGATCAGGATTTAAATAGACACTGGTGTGGAGTTCGGCACAATCAAAAGTAAGATCAATATGGATAAACCTCTGAGAGGACTGACCTTTACAAACCCCACTATACTGTTTAATGTTCTGGATGGCACTTTAATGGACAGATCATCACAGACTTCATCAAATCATCTTGCCCTCTCTCATTCCTACTTTTCTTTTTCACCCTCTTCAGCTGTTTCTTCAGGGGAATCCATTTTCCATCCATGGCTACTGCAGCAGTATCACTTCATTTGAATAAAGAGTCAGAGAAGTGAAAACATATTTTACAAGTTTCCCTTGAACAAGAAAAAAAAAATCACAGGTCCTCATCAGTCTCATGTGAGGGTGTTTGAGTCTACACAATTCAGGATCTCCTAAAAGCTGCTACACTTTTATACATCTGATTTAAATAAGAAGACTTCATTTTGAAAGAACAGATCCTAATCCAAGGAAAACAGACCCTTCACTCTGTTTTTCCAGCTAATTTCAGGTGCCAATTTCCTCTGCATTATGATCAGAATCAGATTCAGAATCAGAATCTGCTTTATCGGCCAGGTGTGTCGGACACACGAGGAATTTGACTCTGGTGCATCGGCTCTCAATGTGTATGTACATATCCCCATGCAAGGGGCAAGTAAACAGTAAACCAGCATAAGTCTGTGTAATATAACAAAATAAGCAGTATTAACAAGCAACAAACAGTACAAACAATGCAAAATAAGCAGTATAAACAGGCAGTAAACAATGCAGACAGACAAAGGAATGCTCATTGTGAAATGAGATAAATAGGAAAAAAATAGAGTACTTACAAATAGAGACCTGTACAGATCTATATAATCTGTACAATGTATATTTAGAGGTATTACATTGAGGGTTATTGTCCAGTCATACTGTCATGGATCAAGTGTTCATCAGAGTGACAGCCCGAGGGAAGAAACTGTCCTTGTGCCTCGTTGTCTTGGCGTACAGTGACCTGTAACGCGTCCAGAGGGGAGGAGTTCGAACAGATTGTGTCCTGGGTGTGAGGGGTCTGCAGTGATCCTCTTCACCCTCCTTTTTACCCATGAGGTGTACAGGTCCTCCATGGAGGGCAGGCTTGCACCAGTGACCTTTTATGCAGTCCTGACTGTCCACTGAAGTCTGTACTTGTCCTGTTTGGTTGCTGAGCCAAACCAGACAGTGATGGAGGTGCAGAGAACGGACTTGATGATTCCTCTGTAGAACTGTATCAGCAGCTCCTGGGGCAGGTCAAACTTACTGAGCTGGCACAGGAAGTACATCCTGTGCCTTCTTGATGATATTCCTGATGTTGGACGTTCACTTCAGGTCCTGGGAGATAGTGGAGCGCAGGAACTTGTAGGACTTTACTGCTGAAGTCCACTGTCATCTCCACTGTTTTGAGCGTGTTCAGCTCCAGGTTGTTGTGGCTACACCACAGAACCAGCTGCTCAGCCTCCCATTTGTAGGCTGACTCGTCCCCGTCTCAATGAGACCAATGACCATTGATTGCTGTAAACATCTATTAACATATTAGGTGTCATGTTTTTTTTTTAATATTCTCAACTCAAAAATTGCAAAGA